CCACAGAGCAGCATCTCCCCTACTCCTGGGCACTCACAGACCTCACTCTGCACTTTGGTTCCACTGCCTCACTCTCCTCACCCAGGGCTGGGGCCACACAAAGCCCAGTTTGCTATCACAGAGGGACTGACAGCTGCCACAGGACAATTTAGTCCCTGACCAAGAGTTTTGGAGCTGGGCTGAGCCTGTCTGAGCTGAACCCAGGCCAGCACAGCACTTTTAGAGTGCTCCTCATAGAGCACACATAGACACTGTCTTCTTACCTTAAACCTGTATCACACAGCCCCTGCTGGGGCTCATTTTCTTGCCAGTGAGGCAAATTTAACCACCTGGTTTCCCACTGCATACCCTGCAGCTGGATAAGAACACTCCCCTGAGCCATGGCTGGGATCCTGCCAACTGGCAGTGCCCCTCCAGTGCCTGGCTGCTCATCCTGCAGCTCAGAGCCATGGCCCTCCATGCTGGAAGGGAGAGCATTGTTCTACTGCCTGCTTCTGCATTCTAGAAAAAACTAATAACAGCAGGACAACAGCCATCCAAAGGCAGGTTGGGAGCCCCGTTGTAACCAGCAGCACAACAAGTAGTTAACTCTGATTATCTCAACTACCCTGCTGGTTGTGTCATAAGCAGTAAATCAAGACAAGACTTGCTTGATAAGGGAAAGCACGTGAGGCTATTTTAAAATGAAAATCCAAAGGAACTTAGAGTGCTGGTGTGAGAGAGAAGAGCTGAGATTAGGAGGCGACACAAACGCAAGCTGAAAGGGGCCACTCCAGAACTGTCCTCCCACACCTTCAGCAGGGAGGAACAACATCCCATGAGTTACCCAAAGCTGGTTTTTCTTGGAGCAGCCTTGGCACTGTCCAGGGCAGCACTGCAAAGTGCCTGGTTCAGCTGGGGCAGGGGAGACTCCACTGCTGGGTACCCCCAGCCCCGTTCAGCCTCAGCTCCATCAGCCAGAAGGGTGGCTGCTCCTCCAGCACCAGTAGAGATTTATCCCCCCTAATCTGACACAGGACAGTCATTTGTTCAACATTTTCAACCCAGCTTTACCCACAGCCATAGACACATGCTTGAGAGGGAATCAGCAGCAGCCACTCACAGTCGCAGTTAGTGCCTGAGCTGTGTAACAGAAGATGCAGTTGTAGATGGTTCCTGGGATACCCAGAGCACTGGCATCGTTAAAAACACAGCACTGAAAGCAGAAGCTCCTCAGTAACTGTGTCTCAATGGGCTCCATCTCTTCTCCACCCACCTGCTGTGTCCCTGCTGGAGGGCAGCCCTGTCCCCAGGGGCCAACACCCCAGACCAGGGGCTCTGATGGCAGCTGGTGCACACCCAGCATCCCTGTGAGTCACGAGACAGATACCCAGAGCAAAAAGCTCATAACTCACATTTAGGACAAAAAGAACTGTTGGTCTCAGATCATGGGATGAAATGCCTGTGTGAGGCCTCACACATCTGGTGTCACAGCTGAGCTCTCACACCCTGATCTACTCTGTGGGGCTCCCTGGCAGAGAGCAGGATTTCCACCAGGACAGAGGACAGAGAGCAGGATTTCCACCAGGACAGCCCAGGCTCTGCTCTGTGACCCCACACTTGCCCACTCCAGTTCATGGCTGCAGAGGTGGCAGCACCCCCTGCCCCCAGCCCAGCAGAGCAGAGTGCCCACAGCATCCCACCAGGACAAGGTCTCCAGCACCTCTCCCAGCGCTCACAACAGAGACCAGGATGCAGAGAGGTTGGGTGGTTGTGTATCACAGGGGCATGAATCTGATATTTATAGACTTTCTCTCTCTTTTAAAGGGCAAGACTCTTTGAATAGAAACAAACTAAGACAACATCTTGAAAGATAAATGAATGTTCTTCTGCACTTCCTCACTGAAATTTAATTTTAATTGATATTAAACATGACAGAGCTTCTACTCAAACTTGTATTTGCCAGCCACGACTTCCCTGCCATCACATCCCTGCCCTCAGCACCCTCTGTGCTCCTCAGTCCTTCAGGACTGAAGGACCAGCCCGAACCCAAGAGCCCCCATGACCCTTGCAGGAGGTAGGACACCAACCCCCAGACCCAGGGCAGTGGTGGGGGGGACAGTGGCAAATTCTTGTTTCTGCAGAGGGAAAATCATCACCAGGTCTCCTAACAAATGTTCTCAAAATGCAAGATTTGGATCTCAGTGCAGCTGGGCACAGATTCCAGCAGGTGTCCATGGATGCCAGCTCACATCTGGAAGGGAACAGCACCTCCTCCAAGCACTGGGGCAAAGTGAGCATTTCATAAGATCATGGAATGTTTGGGTTGGAAGGGACCTTAAAGCTCATCCCATTCCACCCCCTGCCACTGGCAGGGACACCTTCCACCAGCCCAGGTTGCTCCGAGCCCCATCCAACCTGACCTTGGACATTTCCAGGGATGGGGCAGCCACAGCTTCTCTGGCACCCTGTGCCAGTTCTTTACCACTTCCAGTGAAAAAAAACTTCCATAGCATCTGTTTTGGGAAAGATCTGTCCAGCAGAGCACATGGAGGGATCAGAGCAGTCCCTGAGTAGGTGTCTCCTGCTCTCCCTCTGCCGAGCCCTGCTCCTGCCTCCACCGTGTATGTGACTCTGCCTTTTACAGGGTGTCCCATTCACAGCCTTAACATACTCAGAAATACATTTATTTATAGCATCTACAGTGCAACAGAATATTCTTCTCCCACTCCTTGCTACTCGAGACATTTACTACCTGCACGTTGCCCACTGCGTGGGTGCACATTCTGCTCCCACGCCTGGGACACCAGAGCCCTGTGCCCGGGGGCACAGCCCAGCCCAGCCTAAAGACAGACAGTGACTCATGCCATCAGAAATCCCACATGGAGCCAGGGGAGCACCCCCTGCCCCCCAGCACTGCACTGCTGTTCCCTGCACGGCCCCGGGGCTGGGGCAGCCGGCAGAGCCCCCCAGCCACGAGGAGGGCAGGTCCTGAACCCCCCCTTCCTGGGCAAAGCCCTGCAGGTGGGACAGGCTAGGAAATCAGTGCAGCCTCATGTCACACTCCCCCTGCCCAGGACAGCCCTGCAGAGCAGCTGTGCCTCCTAAATTCGGCGCTGGTTCCCGGCCAAGCCGGCCCTGCCCTGCCCACAGATCCGCACGAACTCAGTCTGCTCACACCAGAGCACATTCCTGGGCTCCCAGACTGCAGAAAACAGCTGAATTTGCAAAAACATCCTTCACAATCTGTCCTGAAGTGCTGAGCCGTCGAGCAGTTGGGGCCACAGAGCTCTGACAGAGGATGCAGCCGTGAGGGAACAGGTCTGGCCCTGGAGCTGCTGCCCAAAGCTTTGGAGCATGGAGAGGATTCATCTCCACCACCAGCCCATCCTGCATTTGGGCTCTTCCAGCTGCTGTGTAGAAGCAGAGGGAGATGCAGGGATATGGAACCAGTGCTGCCAAAGAGTTTTCCAGTATCCTTTTGCCCAGGACACGGGCATTTGTCTCCTGAAACAACCTGCCCAGGTTTACACCCACAGCGCCACGCTCACATCCCTTTCCAGAGTTTGTCCCCTCTCCATAGTTGCCCCCTGTGCCTTTGCAGGATCCTGTGAGTTCACATTGTTACTTGCCCACCACAGTTTTGTCCTTTCTCTCCCCACAGGAGTCAGGGAGGTCCCTGACAAGCTGCATTCACCTCAGCTTCAGTTACGGGTGTACCACACCCCAGAGCATCACCACATCAGCTTCCACTAGAGTTGAAATACCAAGAAAAACAGTTTCCAGACCAAGGCACCAATCTGACACCAGAAAAAAAATACAGAAAAAAGGGAGTTAGAGAAGCCTGACAGCCTTAGACCTGCAGTCACATTCAGCCAGGCCCTCACCATCACAAATTCTAGAGGAAAAATGAACACATCTGGACTTCTCTGAACACAGCACTGGACTTCTCAGCCCAGTGAAAGATCCCAATCCCATTTTCACACTGTATTATATCAGCTCAAAGGTCTGGAACAGGCCCATCACAGTGGTGAAAGCTCCAGGCAATCAGCCACATGGGTTTGATAAAGACAGCACTGCCCAGGTACTGATGTTCTTGGAAGGCAGCAGAGCCTTTTGCCTTAAAATACCTCCCCCCCAGTGCCAGCTGAACACAAGGGCTCTGAGGCAGCTGTTTCCACACTCAGCAGCTTTGGGCACCTCCAGGCTCCTTAAGGAGTCATCCATCCCTCCCTCTCTACCTGTCCTTAAGGAGATAAACATCATTCCCTCTCTACCCCTCCTCTGCCCCATTTTGTGGGCTTTTTCACCAAACCATTACTTGTAAACAAATCTTCAGCTCATGAAAGCCAAGAGCACACGGAAGACATTGAGGATTATTAGTAAAATACAACCCAAGTTAAATATATCCATCTTCATTAGCATGCTAATTGTCACTGTGGGCAGTGTCCGTGGAGGAGAGATCCCAACCACTATGGATCTGTGTGTTGATGTCTTGTATTTCCTCAAGTTTCTCTGGATGAAAAAGCTGGAAACAGAGGCATCCAAGATGACACCACAAGCCTTCTCCTGGGCTCCAGAGGGACCACAAGTCTCACTGGCCATCCCAGGACAATGTGGCTTCCCTGGGCAATATTTATAGACAAGATTCCTGTCTCCCTGAGCTGCTTCATTTACAGATTTGTAAACGATTTTCCTCAAACGACACTTTCTCTCAGACTTCTGAGGACTTTTGCCCCAATTTGGTCATCTTCACTCCTACACAAGGAGAAAATCCCCCTGGCACAGGCGGGCAGAGGGTCTGCACACCCACCCCAGTGCCACCCCCGCCACCGCTCAAAGGCCACCAGCCGCCCCCACGCGTGCCATTCCCCTGAGGTGGCAGCGGGGCTGTCCCCAGCCCAGCCCCTTTAAGGGACACTTGGGGCGGCCGCAGGAGCCACGACATTAATTTTAGCCTGGAGCAGGGCCAGGGGTGCAGGGCAGCTGCTGCAGCGCGGGGAGGGGGGCAGTGCCTCCCAGCCTGGCCTCCCGGCACAGCCCCAGTCCCGCGGGCTCCGAGCGGCGCAGCCATGGCCGAGGAGCACAGCGGGCTGGAGGAGCGGATCATCATCAAGGACCAGCACACCAAGGAGATCGACCTGGTCAACAGGGACCCCAAGCACATCAACGAGGACGTGGTGAAGGTAGGGCTGTCTCACACTGTGCTGTGGAGCATCGCTGGAACCGGGATTTAGGTTTCAAATGTTGGTCTGTGTGTGGCTCGACCTCAGACAGGGCTGCCAGTCCCCGTCCACGTGCCCCGAGAGGTGCCATCCTCAGGGCTGTGAGGAGGTACCGGCCCCACTGCCTGGGCACTCAGACGCCAGGTGGGTGGCATGTGGGCTCCAATTAATGTCGTATTTCCCATTCCTTGAATGGGCTCTCCAGTTTCATGGAGACGCCCTCCTTTGTACCAGTAAGTAGAGAGCCAAAAATAACACAGTAGTTAAATATCACTGATTTAAGGGGAACCCTGGAAAAAGGCTGCTGGTCTTCAAGACACAACAGTCTCAGTACCAGTGTTTGATGCATATTGTCCTGTTTGTGGAAGGTTGTTCCCCCTCAGATCGCTCCCTCTGTTGCTGACCAAGAGGCATTCCCATTCCAACTCCCGATCTTCATCTAAGCTCTGTTAGAACAGTGTCACAGATAATTCCAGCCCAAAGGAGAACAGGAGGAGGTAGAAGGGTTTTGTTAAAACTGTGTTTGAGAGATTGAAGGGGGTGTCACACCAGCAGGGACAGCACCGAACTGCCCACACAGGCTTTGACCTTGACTGCACTAGTGCAACACAGACCTGCTTTTGGGCATTAAAACACCATTACAGCTGCCACAGTGGTGTGCTCAAATTAAATTCCTCTGGCTGAGCTGTGACAGTGACAGCCATCAATGGGCACCCTCCCGGCACTGCTGGACGTGCCCACGGCGGCTGCCCGACACCTCGGGAGCCCCAGCAAATTCCCAGCAGACGGTCCCACATCTGTGCTGCTCCGTGCCACTGCATCCCACAGCCCTGGTCTGGGACGTGGAAAGGTGCCAGGAGAAGGGAGCACCACCCTGCTGTGACCAGGACAGCCCTCAGCCTGCTCACCGCAGGGCCAGGCAGTGCTTTGGGACACACCCCTGCACCCCAGCTTGGGAACACCACCAGCTGCTACTGGGGAGCAATGCCAGCACCTTCCTGGCCATTCGTAGTCCTCCCACCTCTCCCAGCCTCTTTCCCTCACCCCACCTCTGCCTTTTCCCACTCCAGGATCTCCAGAGTCAGAAATCCCTTTCAAGCTCACACGCTCACATGGCCACACTGCTGCTCCATCAGCACTGAAAGTTTTCAGAGCTCAGGCTCCCCAGCATTCCTCCACCTTAAAATAGCCCAGCCAGCACGGCTGGGGAGAGAGGGCAGAGCCAGCCCCAGGACAGGAGCACAGCTCAGCCCACTGCTGCTCCACAGCATCCCAAAGAACAGCCAGGGCCTCCTCACACCCCTGCAGGCAGAGGCACACTCCAAACCCCCAGGGCATCAGGGTACACCCAGAGCACAGCAGGCAGGGGGGCAGCCAGCAGGGAATAAGTACAGTGCTCCACAGGATGAAGGGCTTACCTGGTCATGGAGAAACATCTTGAGCTTCACAGGGTACCAAGCAGAATTTGGGACCGTGTCACCTTGGCAGTATCAGCCACAGAGGCTTTGCAGAGCTTCACAAGCCTCCTCCAAGCACAGCCACAGAGCAAACCATGGCTGGACTTGGTGACCTTAAGGGAGCTTTTCCACCCTAAATGACTCCACAATTATGTAAAGGAGTGGTACCTGGTGTGTGTTGCTCCCTGAGAACCTCCAGGCAGCACCAGGGTCCAGGCTCAGCCTGAGCCTCAGCCTCCACTGCTCCTCCAGATCCACTCTCAGGGCAATGCCAGCAGAAGGAGTGCTGGTGCAGAGCCTCTGCTCTTATATCCCACTGCTCCCTGTGTTAATTGATCCCTAATGAGTTCGTCAGGCAGCTGGGCAGTGACCTGGGCTGGTCCCCAGCACAGCTGGGTTTTCTGGGGCTGCTGACAGTACTCCAGAACCAGCTGTTTGGGCTGCTGATTCCTCATCCACCTCAATGCTTCTCCCAACTCCAGGAAATTAAAGGTGATACAGAGTGATTTTGTGATCAAAGTGCTTCCAAAACCAGAATGGATATTGCAATCTAGCATGAATACACAAACAGACACATTCAGCTGCCCAAGGGAAAGCCAGGATGGTTTTCAAGACAAATAGCTCAGCTTATGTATTCCCTGGAAGTGACTTACCACCCCAAGGGGATCTCTGTGCAAAGTTCAGAGGATTTGGGAGTGTTTGTCATTCAAAGACACTCCCAGTACCTGCATAAACAGCACTACCCCTGTAGGGGCAGGGCCAAGCCCCATCTCCCCATCAGGGATGAGGATGGACAGCACTGGACACCTCATCCTGTGGGTATAAATAAATAATCCATGAATCCAGAGGGCTGATGGATTTTTATTAGCACAAACACCTTCCTGCTGAGCAGGCGGCCCATGGCCCTGCATGCTAAAAAAGGGCAGGAATGGGCTCTGGCCACCTCCACAGCCAACACTCCCCCTGACAGCTCCTGTTCCTAGGGCTCCTGCCTGGCCCCGGCACCAGGGAGCACCATTCCCAGCTCAGAGGGTGGGACAGGGACTGGGACAGGGCTGGAATCTCATGCCATGGGTTAAGCCCCCCTCTGTGCTGCCCACAGGCTGAGGCTGGGCAGTGCCAGGAGCCCTGAGCCTGAGGCTGGGCAGTGCCAGGAGCCCTGAGCCGTGTCCCACTGGGATCCCTGCAGGGGCAGGGACTTGGGCTGCACTGGGGCGTGTCCTTGCTCGGGGGTGCAGGGATCCATCCCCCCAGCATGGCCCTCGCTCTCCCCACCCCCACCATTTGGGGTGCAGGGATCCATCCCCCCAGCACGGCCCTCGCTCTTCCCACCCCCACCATTCGGGATCTCCTCTCACCTCGTGCCAGACCATCGTCCTTGCACTGGAGCCTCTGTGATCCCCCAAGCACTCCTGACCTCGCTCTGCTCTCCCCCCAGGTGGATTTTGAGGATGTGATAGCTGAGCCCGTGGGAACATACAGCTTTGACGGTGTGTGGAAAGCCAGCTACACCACCTTCACCGTCAGCAAGTACTGGTGCTACCGGCTGCTCTCTGCCGTCCTGGGAATCCCCCTGGCCGTCGTCTGGGGCTTCCTCTTTGCCCTCATCTCCTTCTGCCACATCTGGGCAGTGGTGCCCTGCATAAAGAGCTACCTGATAGAGATCCAGTGTGTCAGCAGGATCTATTCCCTCTGCATCCACACCTTCTGCGATCCGTTCTTCGAGGCGCTCTCCAAGATCTGCAGCAACATCCGAGTCGCTCTCCGGAAGGAGGTTTAGGTCCCAACAGCCCTCCCTGTGCAGGTTCCTGCCCTCGGGCAAGGGGCACACGTGCCTGGTGAGGGCCTGCACACACCTGTGCACATGGGCACCCGTGCCCAAGGACCTGCACGTGGACACCCGTGACAAGGGAACTGTGCATCACAGCAGGGCCCCACGGCAGAGCCGGCTCTCAGGGATGCTCGCTGCAGATGGAGGCAGGCCAAGCTGTCTCTTACTCCATCCCAAAGCCAGCAGCTTAAGAAGAGAAGCCTATCAGTGCTCAGGGAGCAGCCCAAGGAGGTCCCTCTGCCTTCCAGAACCCCATGGCATCACACCCCAATCCCACAGGAGGGATGGCAGCACCTTCTGGACCGCAGTTCTGGGCCACAGCCTGCAGCTGCAGGATAAACAGTGTCTGCTCCTGCATCCCCCAGGCTGGGATGTCGCTGCCAAACACACACAGGAGTTCTTTATTTGCTGCAAACAATTGCTGTTGTGGGAGCTTCTGCAATAAACTGTCACACCCAAGTTTTAGGGATAGAACAGCTGAAACACGTGTGTTTGCATTTCAGCCAAGCTCTGAGAGCTGGCTCAGTCAGTGCATGACACGTGTCTGCTCTGGGAGTGTGAGCTGAGCCTGGGCCCCCACCAGCTGCAAACCCGCTTGTGGCACCTTGACATTCAATTATGGGCTTAATTATGGAGCATCATTAAGTGCTGTGGGCAGGATCCAGGGCAGGACAGTGAGGTGGAACACAGCCCTGTCAACCCACAGCTAGGCCTATCAGGAGGGCAACAGGCAGTGCCAGGGCAGCAGAACACAGCTTTGGGAACTTCACCTGGGAGACAACAAGCTGGGCTCTGAGCAAAGCTTTGGCTCATTTCTTGGGGAGAATCTTTACTGCACTCCCTCAGTCACTGTCAGGAAGCTCCAGCCACACAACGTGTGCATCCCACACGCTCGGGGCTGTCCCTCCCTCTGTGCCTGGGATGGAGCAGCGGAGGCTGCAGGGGCAGGACCACACCGAGCTCTCAACTCTGCCCAGCAGGAGGGGATCACATCCAGCCAGCCCCTTCCCTCAGCATCCCGCGGGGTCACCCCGATGTGTGGGGAGCAGAGAAAGGAGCCTTCACCAGGATATGGCCACTCTGGATCCAGGGAAACAGGAATGAGGGGAAAAAGATCCAATTCAGAGCTATTTCCTCCCTTGTGCTGTCAATTGATTTGTCAGTCCCTCTTCTGGAGGGACATGGACAGAGCCACACTTTCAGTTTGAGGCCCTTGAACATTCTTTTGGCTCTGGTCTCAAGTGCTTTGCTGAGGCAGGGCCCAGGAGGTCTCGTTGTTCAGAGGCTGTTCTCAACTGTGTCTATGTGCTGCTTTTCCCTGGCTTCCAACAAAGAGTTGGAGCCAAAGACTCCTCTAGTGCCATGCCAAGGACAAGAAAGAGCCAGGTTCTCTACTGGACCTCTTCCAAGGGCTGGGGATTGTGCACTGCCATTATTTCACAGCAGTATGGCACCCGTGCTCTGGTAACACCCGGGGCTGAGATGGATGGAGCGATTAAGAAAAAAAAAATATATATGTAAGGTTTTTTTAGGGGGAAAAAAGTCTCAAAAAACACTCTACCTTGAGCATTTTTAAAAGCTTGTCTGTGGGAATAAAATTAATCCAAATCAATTACGGGATTATACTACTTTTAATTTTTTTTTTGTTTGTTCTAGTAGTTCACAGCCTGAATCCCAAAAGCCCCAAAATGCTGATGTCCCCACCGCAGTCCTCTCTGGGGTTCCTGCACAAGGAGCACACGCTGCTCACCTGTCAGCACCTCTGCTTCACTTTCCCCCCTCCTGAAAAGCATTTTGGCAGTGCATGCATCATCCCTCCCCTTCGGCACGCCCGGAGCTGCTCCCCCGTCCCACTGCCCAGAGGAGAGCACAGCACCACAGGCCTGGGGCACAGCCCTGCCTGACCCAGCCATCACTGGGAACTGTAGCCAGGGCTGCTCCCCTGCCTCTCCCAAAGCTCCCTCTCTGCTCGGGGCATCCATCCCAGTAACATCTATTGCCATGTTCCCTCTGGCCCTTGGCAGAGGGAGGGTGTGCCAGGCCCCCAGATTCACAAGAAAAGGGGACCCTATTCCTTGTTTTGTGCAGGAGTTAGTGACTCTCAAGGAGAGAGAAGGTGAATGTAGGAGGAAAATGCTGTATGGTGTCCCAAGGATTGCCCAGTCAGCAAAAGTGCTGAGAGCTCGCTTAAAGCTCCCACAAAAAAATCGAAGGGATGTCAGGATAGGAAAGGTGCAAATGTACCTGCTGGTGACAGTGAAAAAATAAAGGACAATTTAAAATGCATTTTTTGTGTTCATTCCCAGCATGAAAACCCAAATCCCATCACCCTGTGAGAGCTGCAGGTCTCCCAGCTGTGTCCTGTCCAGCGGCCGTGGCACAGCCAGCTCCGTGCTGTGGAATGTGGCTGTGTGCAGCCCCCAGTGCTCAGGCAGTGCCCCACAGCCCCCAGTGCTCAGGCAGTGCTCCACAGCCACCAGCACTCAGGCAGTGCTCCACAGCCCCCAGTGCTCAGGCAGTGCTCCACAGCCCCCAGTGCTCAGCCAGTGCTCCACAGCCCCCAGTGCTCGGGCAGTGCTCCACAGCCCCCAGTGCTCAGCCAGTGCCCCACAGCCCCCAGTGCTCGGGCAGTGCTCCACAGCCCCCAGTGCTCAGCCAGTGCTCCACAGCCCCCAGTGCTCGGGCAGTGCTCCACAGCCAGTGGTGCTGCTGTGCTGAGCACACCTGGCTGTTGTGTCACAGCCTTCTCTCCCATCGGGCCCCTTCCTTCCCTCAGCCCGCTGCTCCTCCCACATCTCCCTCCTGCTTTCCACAGGTACAGTCAGAAAACTTTATTTACAATATTTGTTAACAATAAAAACCCATGCTGTGAGCATGCCCTGTGTGTTACAGAGCAAAGGAATGGCACTGGAATGGTGGGAGACCCCTTGGGATCTGCGGTGACCCCAGAGCAAAGCCCAGCCTTGGTGACTCAATGGGAGTGTCCCAATCACAGCCCCACAGAGCCCAGCTCGAATCCCACACACCTGCCAGAGGGAAGCTGCTGAGCCCACTCAGCCAAGGCATTACTGCCCAGATCCATGGCCCCAGCCGTGCCCGCTCCAGGCTCCTGCCCAGCTCCTGCACGGCCTCACAGGCACAGGGAGCAGAGATGGGGGAGGGATTCCCAGGCCACAGCGCTCTGCCCTGTGAAGCTGGGTCCCACTGCCCCCAGGAATGCCCTGCTCTGTGCCCCTGGGCAGGGGAGCAGGGCTGGCACAGGGCAGGGGTGCAGGGATGCAGGGATGCAGGGATGCAGGGGTGCAGGGATGCAGGGATGCAGGGGTGCAGGGATGCAGGGGTGCAGGGTTGAGGCTACCTCTGCCCCACAGGCTGCAAATGAAGCAAGTGTATCTGTGTTGAGAGTGCAGTGCCAGGCACTGGCATCCCACGGGATCCCTGCCACTGGTGGAGGGGGGACAGTGCCCAACCACGTCCCCACAGCATCACTCATCAGCTGTGCCACCCCTGTGTCCCCACAGCGTCCCCCATTAGCTGTGCTGCAGTCCCTTCCATCCCACAGGGACGCAGTGCACCTGCCCTAGCAGCGTGGGTTTGTTTGGGGCAAGACCTCTCCCTCCCAGTGGCATCCACGAGCCACCAGTGTCGAAGTTTGGGGCTCAGGAGCAGGTTCCCAGTGTCCAATCCAGGCAGTACTGAAAACTGGACACAGAATTCCTCCCCCACTCGAGTCTCCGTTAAATAACACCTGCTGAACATGCTTGCAGACATATATACACCTATTTATACAGACCCCCAGCACATCCAGGTCCCAGTTTTCCACAGGGAAGCTCTGGAAGCAGCAAGTCAGCGGCACAAGGTCCCAGCTGGCGATGCCTCACGTCGTGGATGGGTGAGTGAAGCTCCTCTGGCTCGTGCTCCTGCAGCTGAGGACGAAGGAGGAGGAGTTGCTCTTCTTGCCCAGGTCACACGCCGGCTGCGCCTTCAGGTAGCGCGTGGAGCAGCAGAGGAGGCGCCGCATCAGGTCGTGGAAGAGGTGGCCGGTGTAGAGCATGTAGATCCAGGGGTTGCAGCAGCTGTTGAGGCTGGCCAGGAGCATGGCGATGATGAACGGGGAGGCTGCAGGGCAGAGGCACGGCAGGGTCAGGGCACGGCAGGGTCAGGGCACGGCAGGGTCAGGGCACGGCACACACACCATGGGCTGTGTGAGAGCCCCAGCCCTGCTGGCACCACAGCACCCTTCCCAGCACGGGGAGTGCTCCCTCCCTGCAGGAACACCACGGCAGGAAAGGACAGCTGGCAAATCCAAAGGGGGAGGCGAGTCTCGGTTGAAGCACACTGGGTTTAGGTTTTTCACCAAAAAAGCTGCATTTCCCGCTCGGCCCCGGCGCTGCAGCCTGCCCAGCATTACCCTGGAGTGCCTGGCCGGGAGGCAGAGCTGCCCCTGGCAGCACCTGCACAATCTGCCTCTGTAGTGCCCAAAGTCAGAGAAAGGGAGCGTGGCCCTTGCACTTGCCATGGCAAAGAGCAGGACCGGGGAAGGAAGAGCCAGTGGCTCATTTATCCCCCCCACCAGCAGCCAGTCTGGGGTGGACAAGCAGCTTCCATCCACTCAGGCCTTGTGGCAGCCACGCTCCCCCAGCCCCAGGGCATCCCAATTCCTGGGCTGTTCCTCCTTCCAAACCCTGACTGGTAAGACAGTGCCAAGTCTGAGTCCTTTTGCCTGGAGCTCCCACAGCATCTTTCTCCTGGCATCTTTCTTTCCCCAAAATTTATTTTTCTCACACTGCACTCTGCCAAGAGAGATGACAGCCATTCCCACACCAGGATCAAGGTCCAGGAGCCTGGCAATGGCTCCTGGCCACAGGGGTGACGTTTGAGACCAGGAGGATGGGGGCAGCACAGTTCCAGGACATCAAGTCTCTGGCTGCTGCTCCCTGTCCCCAGAG